TTCTCTCCTTTCATCATGTGTGTCCTGGAAACTGGACTCAGGACACAGGCATGCCCCTTGACCTGCTGAGCCATCTCACTGGGTTCTCTCAACAGCCACCACCACCCCACCTCCCAGATGCAGCTGCTGGAGTGGACTGACAGGTACCCCAAGGACACACATCAGCCATTGTTGGGACTGGGCCCAACCACTTTCTCAGCAGGCTCCTGGTGCCAAACTCCAGGCTTGGGGCTGCAGAGTCAGGGTGAGGGACACCAATTCTGCCCTCTGGAATAGTCCTAGCACCTAGAAGTGTCCTGTCCTTACATTGGGAGCTCACTGTCTCATACCACATGTGCTCTGAGTACTTCCTTAGCTCCTTGGAGTTCACAAGCCATCCCTCCTGTCCACCCCCAGAGTCTCTGCACCTTCTCCCCAGCATGCCTTTCTCTCAGGTTCCGATTATTAAAGAATTCTGGGAATGCTGCCTCCTGCAGGAAGTCTTCTTAGACTGCTCACCCCGTGCCCTGCCCTCTGGCCTCTTATGTGATGGGGACACACTTCACACACCCCAGGATCCCTCCCCCTCCAGTGGGGGGCAGACTGCAGCCAATTCTCCGGGTCTTCTGTGCCAAGCTAAGTGCTATGAAAAGGTTGCTGGGAACTGGAAAAGACCTGAATTTGTGCCCAGCTCCGTCCCTGGGCTTCTGTGTAGATTGTTGCTCCTGCCTGAGTCTAGTTCCCTCTGTGTGGCCTCTGCCTCGTTCCTAGCCCTGTGGGCAGTAGATGGTACCCCCTTTGCAGAGGTATCAGCAAGAGCGATCAGATCCAGTGTCCCTGTTCACAGGGGACCTTTTCTTCTCCTGAATAGCCAGATGGGCCTGGGGTTCCTCCTGCCCTGCCTCACATCTAGAGTCCCTTGGCTCCAGCACATGAGCCTGGTATGTGGAGGGCTTCTGTCTACTGACAGAGGCCTTGGCAGGCCCAGGCTGGGACCTAGGAGTCAGGACTCCAGACTTCCCGGAGCCAGGAAGGGAGCGACTGGGGCTGGGTTCAGCCTGGAGCCCCACAGAGGTCCAGGCTGTTGTCCTACCAATCCATGCAAGAGTGGGAGCAATTGACATCCCTGAAAACAAGGCAAGCCAGACTAAAGGGTTTTAGATACAGGCTGAGTCCGGCAAAGGGGCTGTGGACAGCTCCACTGTCCTTCCTGAGGCTGCTGGGCCACCTTACTTTTCCCTGTGGGCTCCTTGACACTGGGAGATGAGGACAGGCGCTCATACCCCTGAGCTTGACCAGCTCAGGCCACACTGCCTCTCACTGGACTCCTGACTTCCCGAGATGCTTTGGGTCAGTGTGACTGAGGATGGAATGAGCTGGCGTGACTTGAGGTGGCCAGAATAGGGAGCAAGCTGGGTCACATCATCAAGAAAGAAGCTGTTCAGCCAGGCCCAGCACTCGGGAGGCAGAGGCAGGTGGATCTCTGTGAGTTCGAGGCCAGCCTGGTCTACAGAGCGAGATCCAGGACAGGCTCCAAAACTACACAGAGAAACCCTGTCTCGAAAAACAAAACAAAACAAAAAGAAGCTGTTCTACCAGCCCCAGAAATATGCTCAGGGCCCAGCACCGAGGGGTGTGTGTCATCTCCCACTAGCCCCTGCCCCATTCCTTGGCTCAAGGATGGATAGGGCAGAGGTGTGATTGGGCAGGGGGAGATGTGGCTGAGCAGTGAATAGGTCACACTTCTCAGCATGTGGAGAGTGCAGGGTGGGTGGGGGAGGCCTGTAGTCACAGGATGTCTGCCATCCAGGCAGCCAGTCTAGTGGGGGAAGACAGACCTGCTGTCACACAGGGGGCCTAAGGCTCTGTGAAGTGTGGGAAAAAGCACCAGGGGGCTTGGATGACCCTTGGCTGACCCTTGGGAGAGGGTCGATGAAGGCTTCCTGGAGGGTCTATGTGGGCTGATGCTATGTCCTAAATGAGTGCCAGGAGTCATGTGTATTCTTGGACCGGGTTCTAAGCAAAGGAAGATGGCGTCCTGCCTTGCTTTGCCCTGTCCTAACTCCACTCTCAGGTTCTCCCACATCTGCTGCCTCTTACCCTCCTTCCTCCAGCTTTCCCCCTTCCAGTTCCTCCTTGATTTCTCCTAAGGATGGCCCTTCTGAAGCCCCCCCCCCCCCCCCCCGTGAGCTCCAGGTCCTGTTCTCTTTCACTATCCACAACTCTCATGGCCTTCAGGTCAAACCCAGACTTCCATGGGAGAGGAACCTGTGTGATCTGAGCCCTGCCGATCTCCTCAGCTTCCAAGAGGCAGAGAAAGGTGAGACCAAGGTTGAGGGGGCCTAGCTACCTCTTCCGGATGGGGCAGGCGGAACTTCCCAAGATAAGGGCAGCCAACAATGGGTCTGTGTGGCCCGGCTTGTCTCCAGGCCAGAGGAAATGAACAGCCTTCGCACCACTGATCCGCTGAATCCTTGGGCATCCGCTGGTAGGGTGACTCAGATGGGGGGAGCTGTTCCCACCAGGGGGCTGCGCCTGCTACCCCTAGTTCCCTCCTTCCAGCACCATGCTTATCCCGAAGGGACTTAGGGGAGGGATTTGGAAGGGCGCACACACGTTTTGGGAAATGGGCCTTTGCTAGACACAAGGGCCTGGGACACACATGAGGGTCTATTGGTGGGATTTAGGCATCAAGTATGGCTGTGAGGGAGACATCTGGATGTCATGGCCTACTCTCTCTCAGTAGCCCAGAACAGACCCTGCTGCCTTGAGAGCAGTCCATGATACTCAGGAGGGTTGGAACCCCGTGGCTATCCCATCAGGACCAGGCTGTGACACAGACATGAGGCAGAAAAATGCCTTGAGTTCCTCCTTAACTGCACCTGTGTGTATGGATCTAGCAGGTCCGTTTCTGCCTTGGGGTCTAGTCTTCCTGTTGATAAAAAAAGAGCCCTTGTCCACTAGCCAGCCAGTGGAATGTGCACAGGCCATGGGTGCTGTTGGGCAGCAGGCTGGGGACACACTACCATGTGTGTTGGGGTGGGCCGAAATCTCTGCCATGTTCCTTCCGGGCTTGTCCCAGCTCCTACATGGAAGCCTGTGCCTGGCCCCAGTGGGAGCGGCTGCTCTTCCCGATTCAGGTGACATTCTAAACCAAGAACAAACACGGAAGCCCTTAGATAACCCTAGAAAGCCAGCTCCTTCCTTCACCGTTCAGAGTGGGAAACTCAGGAAACCAAGGCTGAGCCTCCATGTGTCAGAGGAGGGTCGGGAACACACATTTCCTGTAGTCTGTCTTCAACTTGGTTTGTGGGGCTCAGAAAGTAGAAGGACGTGCCCCAGTCCCCCTAGCCTGGAGGAGGCCGCCCTCTCCATCCCATGCTGTGGTTCCAGTTCCTAGTCTGAGGGGTGGCTGCAGAGATCAAAACCCTTCAGGAGCCAGGAACGCTCTTGGCACGGAGGGTGTACCCCATCCTCCGAGGGACGCAGG